CCAAGCTCAGCTCTCAACTGCATATATGTTCCTTATCTGACACTTTATTGTCCTTCCCTCCACCACAGTGGGCTCGGAATGAATTTGAAGCACTCTTTCAACTATCTGCAAAGACCATCAACCAACAGTAAGGCCACACAGAGAGGTGGAAGAAGGTTTAGGGCTCCAAGCACAGGGCTTAGCTTCAAACTTCCTCCTTTCTCCACAGGGCACGTACTTCCCTGGCAGACATGGATAGGCAACAGATACTGACTTTACTACGGCTGGGTGTCCTAGGACAGCACCCACAGACTTGGCGAGACTGCGTGGTGTGGGCCCTTGGCCAATGGCAATTCTGCTTCCATTATGGCATCATACAGCTACTGAAGCACTTCCCACCTGATAAAGTGGGTGGCAAGGGGTTGGGTGGTCGAGGGTTCATGGGGACAAGACTCAGCCCAATAGCCTATCTTTTTCTAGGTGCTTGAGGATGGAACTCCATTCTGGTCAAGTCCCAAACAGTGTCCCCAGCCCTTGGAATTTGACACCAACCAGGTGAGTGGGAATCCTTGGGGAGCCTTGAGATAGAGGTATGGCCCTCAGAGCAGAGGAAGTCATCTCTGCATTCTGTAGAAATGCAGATTCTGATCACCATGTTTGTGTATTTTTGGGTATCTATATGTGTGGCAAGCAGGTGCTCAAACAGATTCACAAATGGGCAATGAACCACCTGTATTTACCCATACATGCTCACTCACAGCCATGTCTCTGCTGCTACTCTTGGTCTTGCTGCAGGATATGCACCTCCTCTATGTGCTGGCAGCTGCCAACCTATATGCTCAGATGCATGGGATTCCTGGCTCATCAGATCAAACTGCACTCAGGGAGCTGCTGAAGTTACCACAGCCTGATCCCCAGCACCTGTCCCTCATCTTCACTAATAACCTAGAGCTGACTTGGACTTCTGCTGAGTTTGGTGAGACCCTTGGCCCTGGCCCCCATACTGTCATTAAAAGGCTTGACCCTGACTTTAGCCTATCCTATAGAAGCAAGGTAGGGCTTGAGAGCCCTATAGCCAACTTAGTACATCTCAAGCCCTCTTTCCATGCTCTCCTCTAGGCTTAGCCACATTCTCTAGCCCCTCAGTAGGTCCTTTTCCCTGCTGCCTACTCCATATCCCAGTTCTCTTTTTTACACTCAGACTCTTCAAACCCAGCCTCAGCAACTTATCGAGGCCCTATGCAACTTAGTGAGACCTTGCTTCAAAATAAAAAATAAAAGGGCTCATTGGTTAAGTGCCCTTGGGTTCCATCCCTGGTATCCCCCCATGCCCCCCCCCCCAAAAAAAAGAGTGTAGTAACTGGCAGACTTAGCAAAAACCAAGAATAGGCACTAGACTCCAGGAAGAGTGTAGGAGACAGGGGCTAAGGACTACCCCAACATCCCCTCCCCTCATAGGCCCTGAGATGTTGAAGAAACTGCAAGAAGCTCTGGAAGTCTGGGACAAGTTTCCTCCCCTGAAGCCTCTGATGTTTGAGAAGGTGGGATCTTAAGTTGGGGTAAGGTATTGGGCTAGGGAAGTTGTGGGCGAAGGTGAGGAACAAACAGGGTTGATTTAGAGTCCCTGAGTTCTCTTCCAGTAGGTACCGGAAAGCAGCTCACCTTCCTTGAAACTCAGCCTCACTGTGTGACAAGGGGGAGATGGTGAGCTCCTTCCTACCTACAAAACTGTGTAAAGACCTCCTGGGCCTCACTTCACATACCTGTAGTCCCAGCAACTCAAGAAGCTGAGGCAGGGATCATAAGTTTGAGGCCAGCCTGGGCAATTTAGAGAAACCCTGTCTTAATGTAAAGTAAAAAGGGTTGGGAATATAGCTCGGTGGTAAAGCACTTCTGGGTACTCCACAGTACTACAAAAAAAATAAAACTGTGCAAAGACATCTACAGTGGCACACAGTTGACCAAGGGAATGGGCACATTTTAGTATTAATGCTACTGTGATTTGGGCCTCACAGGATGACAGCAACTTTCACATGGACTTTGTGACAGCTGCAGCCAGCCTTCGATCTCAAAACTATGGGATCATACCATTCAACTATTCTCAGGTAACCCGACCCCTTAGGGCTCAGTCCTGAAAGTAGAGGCTAAACTCTAGCTCTACAGCTTATTTTCTAACCAAATCTCCTGTCCTTAACAGAGCAAACGAATTGTGGGCCAGATTATACCAGCCATTGCCACCACTACAGCAGCTGTGGCAGGTCTGGTGGGCCTGGAACTGTATAAGGTAGTGTATGGGGCACGGCCCCTTAGTGCCTTTCGTCATAGCTATCTGCACCTGGCTGAAAACAACTTCATGCGTTGGGTGCCTTCTGCTCCAGCTACCCAGATGGTGAGCCCTTGATATCTTACCCTTACCCCTGCTAATTTTGGGCTTTCCTGCATCTTCCCAAACAGGCCCTACTCTAGCTGTGGCCTCACTCCAGAACCCAGACTGTGGAGGAGTTCTCAAGACTCCCTCCAGCCCCCTTCCTGCTATGAAGCCAGGCTGAGACCTGTCAGACACAGGAAGCAGCCATCAGCCTTTCCTCCCACCCCACTCCAGTCCAGGGTCTGGGGGGGCGGGGTGCAGCTTTAACTCATTAGTGGAGCCAGACATCCTCACAACCTCCTCTTTCCCAGAAGTTTTCCTGAGGGGGTAGATAGTGGGGAGGGGGAATTTGTAGGTAAGGGGAATCATGGCCCCACCCCTAGAAAGATGTAGGGCCCTGGCCTGCCCCCTCCAAGGTGAATTAAAGGGCACTAGATTTGCCACTAGCAATGTGGAACAACAGCCCTGTGTGTGTGATTGTCACAGATGTGAGTGCACCAGAGTCTGGGCATCCCTGGTGTGTAGGTGTGAAGGGAGAAAGCTTGCACATCTGTGAGCCAGATGGGAATGCAAGGCTCTCCTCGATGTGGACATGCATGGATGTGTATGTGGGTACACATGTGGGTGTTCCTGGGCTTGTGTGCATATGTTCCTGTGAGTGCAGGACAGGGACTATCTCCAAATTGTGTGCCCAGACTTTGTAGTAGTGGCATTTCCTTGGGGCATAAGAAAGAGGATAGAGGGAATGCTGTTGTCAGGGGAGAAGGCAAAGGTCAAAGGTCACTGGCAAAGGCCCTAGCCTTTGCCAAGCAGCCCTAGGGTCCCTCTGGACACAACATGTAGAGCCCTTTAGTGAGACGCCCCACCTCTAACCAGCACACAGGCTGCTTTGTCTGTGGAATGGAGGAAGAGTCTCTAACCTAGTCTCATCTTGACCCCAGTATGTTTTCTGAGGGGCTGGCAAGGTCCCCCATCCTAGACTCTGGCTGTCCGCCACTCTTCTGTCCTCAACTCTAGGCATCAGAAACTCAACTGGACAGGAACAGGAGGCTTCTATAGACTGTGTCCCTGCTGGGATCTCTGGGCCAGTAGGGCTCCAGTAGTCACTGTACTATGTACTCCTGTGTGCCTAAAACTAGTCAAAGGCTCTAAAAGTAAGGATGAAGGAATAGGATGTATCCTCCCGCTCCTAGCCTTGCATTTGAGGAACAAGCAGCTTTATCAGAAACTCCAGTAGCCTAGCTCTGGCTTCCTCAGGAAGCACCACCCCCTTAGTCCCCCTCCAACAACTGGCCTGTATGATGGATCAGTCTGTTTCCCTGTGTGGGCCCCATAGCCCCATTTCCTGTGCTGGCCTCAGCCTGGGCAGGGAGGGGGCTGAGACTCTGGGCCCAGATCCCACCCTCTACTCCCCCGCTCACTTCCTGCTTCTAGTCTAGCTCCTCCCCTAGAAAAGGCTGCTAGTAACTGGGACAGGGGTTATCCATTTATGTGAAAACTCTCACTCATCCTCACCCCCATCCCCTAGTTCAATTGCCTGAAGTGGACTTCTTGGGACCGCCTGAAGGTGCCTGCTGGACAGCCTGAGAGGACACTGGAGTCACTGCTGGCCCATCTCCAGGTGTGCCCTGACCCCACCCTGCCCCCAAGTCCAACCCAGCCTGGCCCAGTGGGTATCTGACCTGTATCTGTCTAGGAACAACATGGACTAAGGGTAAGGATGCTTCTGTATGACCAAGCCCTGCTCTATTCGGCACGATGGTCATCTCAAAAGCAGGCCCAGTGCCTGTCCCTCAGGTGAGCCCACAGCCAGCTCTAGCTAGGCCCTGCCTGCCCCTGGAGGTTGAGGATGGGGTACACACAGCCTTTCTTTTTCCTAACCCCATTCTAGGCCCCTCACACCTTCCTGAAGCATTCTTTCACCAAATGGGGCAAGCAAATGGACTGGGGGCAGGGCGAGAGCCTAAGGAGGGGCCTTTGGGAGCTTTCTTAGCCAGCTCCACCAGCCCCCAACCCTCTCTGCTCAGCTGCCCTTTCACAGCCCACTCCCAGGGGACCTACAGCTTCCTGCCTCTTGCCCGCCCCACCAGCTGCTCCTAAAATAGTTTCAGATGTTTCCTGTCTTGAGCTGCTCCTGCTTGTGGTCTGGGCTCCTGAAGGCTCTGTAGCACCCTCTAGTCCATGCCAAGTTATCCTCTGTCTACCTCAGCTCACCTGCCCAATCTCCCCTAACCTGCCTCTCCCCCCCTCCATACCAGGGTGACAGAACTGGTTCAGCAGGTGACCGGCCAGGTGCCTGAACCTGGACTTCAGGTACTAGTACTGGAGCTGAGCTGTGAGGGTGAGGAAGATGAAATGGCCTTCCCACTTCTGCACTATGAATTGTAACAAGGCAGCCACTGCCCTACCACTTGGCTCTATGGAGATCTGCCCAAAAGCCCTGCATCTTGAGCCCACAGCAGACACACAATAAATGCTTGTTGAAGGAAGGCATAGTGGAAAACATGGATGACAGAACACAGGGCAATAAATCACATGGGCAAGTGACACGGGCAAGACAACACCCTGGAAGAGTGAGAAAAGGCTTTAGATTTGCCTCCCTGGACTGTGCCTCACAAGGCACAAGGGACCACCTCCTCAAGCCTCAGGGGTATGGAATCAACAGTCTAGAAAAAGGCCTTTATTGTCCCAGGCTAGAAGGCAGGGTCAGAGATAACTGACATCATTGTAAATGATGGGCTGGCGACTGCGGCAGCTCATGAGGGCTGCAAAGCGTGATAGGTCCGCAGGCAGTTCAGATTCTGCGCGAGGTGGGCATGACAGCCGCTTTCCTGCCATAGCTGCCCTACGAGCCCTGGACAGCCTGCGCCGCAACTGCTCAGAGAGACCAAGCAGAAATTGGGGGGGTCGAGCTCGGGCACGGGGTATGCCTCCATCACCCCCCTCACTTGCTGCCTCAGGCAGCTCCATCCAGTTGTGAACTAAGTCAGCAAAACAGTTGTCCCCCAGCACCAGGGGCTGGCGACTACGTCCCCTGTTCAGCAGGGCTGCTGTCCAGTCCTCTGCTTCCAATCCCTGCCAGTGCTCCAGGCAGGCATCTGGAGTAGACTTGGGCCGTGGACGGTGGTGGGCAGGTGGTATGCTGGCTACAGATGCTCTGTTAAGCAGGGGGAGATCACTGACTGAGAGGCGCTGGGTATGAGGGAGCCGTGCAGGGAGTGCTGGGCATGGGAGTACAGAAAGCTCTTCCTCTCGCCATGTGCTGCCTGACACTTCTGAGAAGCCGGAGTCCCAGTCTAGAGCATGCTCCCTTGGGCCCCTCAAGGCTGCACCCCTATCTTCTGCCACCAAGGCTTCCTCCTCCTCTTCCTCTTCCACACAGCAGACAGAATCCTCTTCCAAGGCATCTGAAGCCCTAAGTTGATGGCCAGACTGCACACCAGGATCAGTTTTAGGGGGTGGCTGCAAGGGGCCAGGCATAGGGGATGAGCCTGTATCCCGACCGCACAACTGAAGGGGAAGAAAGGGTACAAGTCATAGGGGTATCATTTGTCACCCCTGCCTGCCTGGCCAGGCCAGCCATGAAAATAGAGCATCCAAGAGGGTTTGATAGGTGTGCTGGCCTGGGCAACAAGGCAGAGAGTGAGCACAGGGCTGGCATGGGGGTACAAAAACACGAAGCTCGTGTGGCTTCCATTGCAGACCGGTGTCAGTCTGGCAGGCTGCAGCACGCAGAGCTGGGCAAGTCGGCACCCGCCACTAGGGCGGGCCGGCAGGGTTGTGGGCCTGCATCGGGAAGTAAGTCCTGCCCAGGGTCTGGAGGGGAGGCATCCCGTGGCCTTTTGGATGATGCATATCCCCAAAGCGTCTTTCAAAGAAAGACATGGTGCTTTCTAAGTGAGGGATGGAGGAACAAGGTACAGGTCAGAGGTAGGGGGCGTCCACAGCAACGCCAGAACCTCTTTAGATCCTTGGCGCCTCTGCCCCACCTCAAAAGAAGTCCTCCTCACTATCCTCCACCCACGCTACCCAGCGGCACAGCCAGCGGGGCGGCTGTTACCTGATGCCCAGAACAGCTCTCAACTGTCCAGAAACTCAAGGCGGGCCATCTGGGCCAGCTACACTGCACCGCCCCGCCCCGCCCCCATCCCGCCTGGATGGGCACCCGAACGACCCCGCACCCGTTTGTTTTCCTGGCAGGGCGGCAGCTGGGCACCCCACATAGGTCCTCACGACCACGCCCACTCCCAAGCCTCACCAGTTCCCAGCGGAGCTGGCTCAGGAAGCTGTCAAGTCGAGCGCTGTGCATGTCGATGCCGGAGCTCCCGCCAGCCCTGCCAATTCCTCCTCGACTCCCGGCAGGAGCGACGCGGAGAGGGCTGGGGTGGCCAGCCAGCGGCGCCCTCGCCCTGCGCCTTGCTAAGAGAATCCTCACACTGCTGAACTCCCGCCGCCGCCGCCGCCGCCCCAACATCTGGCAGCCACGCCCCGCCCCCGGCGCCGCAGCCAATGGGGGCGGGGCGAAGTTGAAACGGCCCCGCCCCTGAAGCCTGGCGGGATGAGTGAATTGGGCGTCCCGTTTCTGCACTAGCTCTGCGGGGAGGGGAGAGGCTGTAATTGGAAACTGGACGGTGCCCATTCCGCGACCCCTGATGCCTTGGAAGGTTTAGCTAACCCTGTGTTCGTTGCGTAACGAAGTATAGGTCCTTTCCCCAGGGTGGTCTCCCCTTCCCCATTTGTTCCCTCGTGAAATAGCAGTCCCTCCCAACAGGGCCTCGTGGCGTGACCACATGTGAGCAGAAGGCCAGATCCTTGTACTCGACAATGTTGTGGCCCATTAGGGGTATGACATGTTCCTTAGGCTGGCCTCGACAATCCCTGGAAATGACAGGAGCGAGGTTCGGCCCCTCTGAGTACTCAGGGATTGCAGGACTTCACAGCAGCGTAAGAACCAGGCTTCAGAAATCCCACCCCAGTGCGGTCCCGCTTTGTGTTGTACTAGGTTTGATCGCCCTCTAGTGGGGAGCGCGCGCCTAGCTTCAAGTTCAGAAGCGACTTCGGACCATCCGCAAGCCCTGTGACTGTCACCATGTAAAGACTGAGGGAGACAGAGACGATCTTCTTTAGCGAGAATGATCAGAACCTGTCCGCTGAGAATACTCCATAATCAGAGGCTAGGTTCAAGGGTATAGTGTAACAGGAAACCGACTGTACCTTTCAGCAGACAGGAAAATATGGGGCAATGGAGTAGTTTGAAGAAGAGGTCTCTCAGAGCAGTGACATCAGGGTGCAACCTTAGTCATTGTGAGGAGGTCAAGAAGACAGGCATTCTAGCCGGTAGGGGTGGCATTCCTCTCCCGTCCTGACTACTTGGGATGCTGAGGCAAGAGGGTGGCAAGTTGGAGGCCAGCCTGGGCAACTTAGTGAGATCTTATCTCAAAATAAGATTTTAAATAAGATTTTAAAAAGAGCTGAGGATGTAGCTCAGTAATAGAGGGAGAACAAGTTCTTTTGTAGTGAATGACCTGGACTGGTTCCTGTTTGATAATATCAGCTGCTTTGGGAGAACAACTCTGTAATAAGAGTGGAGGCTCCTGCCTTCATCAACGCAAGAAAGGTGAAGTCTTGGGCTGGTGCACAGCAGGTAGATAGAAGAGGACCACTTTAGGGTATGTTTTGAAGCTAAAATTAAGCCTCTTTCTTTCTTTTTTTTTTTTTTTTTTTTTGCACTGGGGATTGAACCCAGGGTACTATACCACTGAGTTACATCCACAGTCCTTTTCATTTTTCACTTTGAGGCAAGATCTTGTTAAGTTCAACCTGGCCTGGAATTAGCAGTCCTCCTGCCTCCTGCCTCAACCTACCAAATAGCTGGGATTACAGTTGTGCACCACTGTGCCCAGTCTCCAGTGGCGCAATAGGTCTGAACGAGACTTGGGACATGAATGTAGACAGAGATGGTAAACAGTGAAGACTATGCTCTGGAACAACCCACTGGATAGAGGTAGGGGAGATGAAACAGAACCAGCAAAGGAGCTGAGCAAGAATAGTTGGGACGTGGGAGAAACCTGAGAGAATATGGAGATTTAGGATCCAAAGGGAGCAAACATCAAACTCTGGAGAATGTGAGGATGGAGAATAAACTGCTGGCTACAAAGCTGAGTACTGTGGCATGTGCCTATAGTCCAGTTACTAGGGAAGCTGAGGCAGGAGGATCAGATAACTTAAGCCCAGAAATTCAAGTACAGGCATGTGCCACCACGCCCAGCATGAAGAAAACTGTTTTTAAAAAAATAGCATAGAAAGGGGCTGGGATTGCGGCTCAGTGGTAGAGCTCTTGCCTAGGATGTGTGAAACACTGGGTTCCATCCTCAGCACCACATAAAAAAATAAACAAAAACTAGCATAGAATGTAAATATGGTAAATGGGAAAATTTCAAAGATAGAGTTCTGTAGATACTCATCCAACTGACAGTAAGATCAATATATAGGATATCCTGACCAGACACAGTAGTGCATGCCTGTAATCCCAGCAACTCAGGAGGCTGAGGAAGGAGGGTTGCAAGTTTGAGACCAGCCTCAGCAATTTAGTAAGGCCTTAAGTAACTTAGAAAGACCCTGTCTTGGGTTGGGATTGTAGCTCAGCGATAGAGCACTCCCCTATCACTGGCGGGACCCGGGTTCGATCCTCAGCACCACATAAAATAATAATAATAAAGTCATTGTGTTGTGTCCATCTACACCTAAAAAAATATTTTAAAAAAAGAAGACCCTGTCTCAAAATAAAAATTTAAAAGGTCTGGGGATGCAGCTCAATAGTAAAGTGCCATTGGGCTCAATCCCTAGTACCAAAATCAATTAATTAGTTAATTATTTTTAAAAAAAATATAGCATGCCAGGTGCAGTGGTGCATGCCTATAATCCCAGCCATTCGGGAGGCTGAGGCAGGAGGACCACGAGTTCAAAGCCAGCCTCAGCAAAAGCAAGGTGCTAAGCAACTCAGTGAGTCCTGTCTCTAAATAAAATTCAAAATAGGGCTGGGATGTGGCTCAGTGGTTGAGTGCCCCTGAGTTAAATCCCTAGTACCAAAATAAATAAATAAATAAATAAAAATTTTAAAAATATAGTACATCCTTAGCCATTCCAATCCAGGAAGCTACCTTGTGTCCCCTCCAGTTGATATTCCCATAGGTAACTACTACTTTTCTATCTACAATCAAGGATTTCTTTTGCTTGTTGAACATAGACAACTATTGAGAGATTCTGTGGATGACTGAACTGAGATTTTTGAAGACATTTTAATGATGTGTTGGGGGGGAGTTTGTGGGGTAACTAGATTTGGGTTTAGTTTTCCTGAATGCTGTACTTTCTCTGTCTCCAAGAACAGCATGGCCAGTTTCACCACCTGTATCACATCCTCTTAGGGTTGTGATAATGAATGGGGGAATTCACTGGGAAACAGTGGAAAATGGGATTTTCCAGGCCTCTGGAGGCCTGCCAGGGAACTAGAGCTCAGTCACCAGAGATGGGTGGAGTTGGAGTCTGGAAGGCCCGCCTGCATGACTGTGTTTGAGCAACTGACCTGGCAACGGGTTGGGCCTGACAAACAGTCTCCTCTGTCATCTCTTCAGGCCACTATGGTGCTGCTGAGGCTCCTGATGATTCTTTTTGCTCTGGTTGTCTCTGGTGAGAAGCTGGTATATGGGGATACCCCAGTTTTCCTTTGGAGTTCTGACCCTCAGATTCAGGGTGAGGGTTAGAGTAAGGGTCTGAACTCCTGATCAGTGTTTCTTATCTCTGCTTCCTCAATCAGTTATCTCTCCCCATCTATAAAATGTCAGATGTGGAGAACAAGGACAGAACTTGGCTGTTTGATATCAAGGTGTTGTCAGACCCTGCAGCAAAAGGGTGGGACTTTGTTTACAAGTGTGGTTCCTTGAGCATGGGGGGCCTCCAGCCTGAATTATCTGCTCCTCACAGACCTCCACAGTCTGCCCTGGTTCATAAATGTGTCTGAACGCGAGGGTCCTGGCACCATCCTTCAGTCTTTCTCCTTCAACTGTTCCTCCCACATGCCCACCCTGGAATTGGTCAATGTGCAACCACCTACCACTTTCTTCAACCCACCCAGCCTGACCAGGTGGCAGGGGATCTATGTGGGAAAGGTAGAGTCATGAGTAAAACTGGGAACTGGGGGCACAGGGCAGACCTGAAATTCCCCAAAGCCAGAGGTGGTATACAGAGACAGAGAGACTAGGCCCCACACGTTACTGCCTGTCCACCACAGGTGACCTTGAGCAGCTCAGCTCGGCTGGATGCCCTTGCAGTAAACCACTATGAGCTGCAGCTGCGATACACATGTGGCAACATTGTGATGGAGGGACCACTCTTTGTGGATGTGCAGCGGGACTCTGGCCATATCCAGTGTATTGGTCGATTTGCCAGCTCAGGTGAGGCCAGGGGCAGCAGGCAGGGGTGGGCAGGCATGACCTGAAGACAGCCTCCCTGATCTTCCCCCTGGTCAGGTGGGGAAACCATTCAGGTGCCAGAGACAGTCAAACCTGGGGCCCGGTTGTACACTCTGCTGCTCCCAGGCCTAGAAGTCCAGGGAACTCAGGTAAGCCCAGCACATAGGATAGTGGATGACATGATGTGTGTGCGAGTGGGATGGGGAATACAAGCTAACCACTGCCTGACCAGCTACAGCCTGCAGAGGGACACTACAATCCACAGCTGAGCCTGTGCATGATGCCTATTCTTGAAGAGAGCCACTAATGTTACCCTTTCCCCACTGACCGTAATTGTTCCCATAGAGAAGTCTAAGGAACTGAGCTCTTCTTTCAATTTCTCATATGTGTTCTGAGTTTTCCATTACAATTTTTTTTTTAGTTGTTGATGGACCTTTATTTTACTTATTTGGGGCTGGAGATGTGGCTCAAGTGGTAGCGCGCTCTCCTGGCATGCCTGCGGCCCGGGTTCGATCCTCAGCACCACATACAAAGACGTTGTGTCCGCCGAATACTAAAAAATAAATATTAAAAAAAAATTCTCTCTCTCTCTCTCTCTCTCTCTTAAAAAAAAAAAACAAAAACAAATCTATTTTACTTATTTGTATGTGGTGCTGAGAATCGAACCCAGTGCCTCACGCATGCTAGGCAAGCGCGCTATCACTGAGCCACAACCCCAGCCCTCCATTACAATTTTATAACATTTTGTAACCCCTCAAAAAGAAACATAGTTTAAAAACAAGATAATTGTTTTTTGTTGTTGTTGTTGATTTTGTGTGTATGTAGTGCTGGGGATTGAAACAAGCACTCTACCAACTGAACTATATCGCTAGCCCAAAATAATTGGTTTTAAAGCAGAAAGGATTGAGGGTCAGTATCAGGATTCCCAGTAGAGGGCAGAGAGCCTAGGCTGGGGCAAGAGTCAGTGGCAGGGCATGGGAGACCAGGTGTGGAC